CGGTTAGATCAGGGCATGATCGATCAAATTCAGCTAATCGTGTATTGTTTTGACATTGGTGACTGGTGGACGGTAGCCGACAGTGGTTGCTGACATGCGACAATGGCTTAGGTGCGTGAGGATATTTTTGTTAATTTATAAATTTTTATTGTGAAAGATAATTGTTAAATATTTTAAATTAAATAAAATACGATTGGATTTTGAATTCAATAATCAATATTAAAACAAACTATTTTTTACTATTTAAAGTAGGATAAGATAATATAATAAAGTTTAAAAAATTAAACAAATGGGTAAGATACTACCGGGTTGAGGTTCAAAAGGAACCAAACGGAAAAGATTTTGATTGCTGTGAATGATGATGCGATGAAGTATGAGAAGCTGATGGAGACTTGTAAGTGTACATGAGAAGCCGATAAAGACTTGAACCGTATTACATGTAAATCACAGCCGTCGATTAGTTTTCATAATCCAGTATTATGGTCGGATTGTTTCAGCGAATTTCCAAGTCTTCGTTCCAGATTTTCAGCTCCTTTGTTGAAGCGTGGGCTTTGATGCCTCTCTTGTAAATGTTATATTTTCATCCATTGTTTCAGTCTGGTTTCAATTTTGTGAAAGGATTAGAAAGACATATATACCCTTTAGCAGTTAATTTTTAACAAATTATTTTACAAAACAGTGTCCTCAGACTTTAGGGAGGAAAATGTAAATGTGTCAATTTTATTAAAGAAATAATTAGAAAGCACACTTATTAAACGTAGTATTTTTTGGGAACTTGTTTGTTTGTGTTTACTCATACTTATGATTTCTAATTCTAACGGTAATTTTTATATTTAAATTAAAAAATAACTTAATTCTAATTGTCTTTGTAAATAAGATCTAATTGTCTTTGTAAATAAGATTATTTAATATAAATTGCAGTCAATTTAATTCTTTTTTTCTTTCCTCTTTTTCTCTTCTCCGGTGGGCCGGTCAACACTATAGGTTATTTAACTGTAATAAAATTATTACTTCCTCCGTTTTTTTTAATTAACGTTTAAAGGTTATGTGCACTTTTTAATAAAGAGAGAGAGGAGATGTGGTTCTAGAAAAAGTAAAACAGAGGAGATGAGGATCACGTAGATAGAGAAAGAGAGAGAAGAAATGTGGGCAAAAAAAAAAAAAATAGAAGATGGGCAAACGTCGAGAAAGAGAGAGAGGATTTAATTGGTCTGACATCTTTTATTTTAGGAAAAAAATAGTAACTTTAAAATTTTAAAAAGTAATTATAGTGGAACCTACCCTCAGCTCCCAAGACTTTAATATAGCTAGACCCCGCAACCTGCCCTCACTTTTACAAAAGTCATCTGCCTCACCGCCCTAAGACAAGACTACTCATTTACCTTCCTGCTCAGCGACAAGACAATTCATCTAACCTAGTATAATTAGCAGAGGTTTTGGCTTTATGCAACTTATCTACTCTTCCCTTTGTCATGAATCTCACGTAAGAAGAAAAAGAGGGGGTTTTGGGTTTGTAAATAAGTTTTAACGTTTGGTTATAAAACTTCGGACCCGTGACACCTTGTATAATTAGCTGTGAGGTTTATGTAACTCGTTTACTCGTTTACCTTCAATGTGGGTGGGTGCACTTTCAATATTATCGCGGGGAATTAATTAATAGAATTGAATATGGCACATTATAACACTGTTTTTGCGTACTTCAAATATATATTATTTCATGTTCTATAATTATTGAATTTATATATATAGTGGTCGATTAATTAAGTTACTCATTAATTCTTTTAAGTTGTGTTAATTTTATTTTTTTAAATTGCTTCTTAATTAGTTGTTGTAATAATGCCTCAATTGTTATTCGAAATTAAGAGATTGAATGAGAGAAAGTCTTATAAAGAGGTGTACAATATGGAAGAAAAGTAATTAATCTATATGTGTTGCAATTACATGTATAAAGTGTTACTAGAAGAATTAAAATGATTTGAGATAATAAAATTTTCATTTAAGAAAAACAATTAATTCATATATATGTTGCAATTACCAGTTGTAGTTCAGAAGCAAAGCAAAGCTGCCTCAAGAAAAGAACCAAACGCAAAGCTCTTTGATAGCTGAGCATGATGTAAGTATGAGAAGCTGATGTAGACTTGAACAGTATTACATGTAAATCATAGCCGTCGAATAGGTTTCATCTAGTCTGATTGTTTCAGTTAATTCTCAGGAAAATGATAGAGTTACCGAAAATTACACATCAAATTTGTACACCGAATGACGTGATAAAATCTTGACCGTTGATTAATATTAACTTATAATGAATCAACGGTCAGGATTTTACTACGTCATTCGATGTACACCCTTCGATAACTGTAACATTACTCTAATTCCCAAGGCTTCATTTTAGTTCCTTTGTTCAAGTGTGGACCCTGATGTCATGTCAATGTCATATTTCCATCCACTGTTTTAGTCGGCTTTCAATTTTAAGAAAGGTTTGGAAAGACATATATACCCTTTGTCAATTAGTTTGCATTTTTCAACAAAATATTTTATGAGTGCGTTTGGTTTATTATTTTGGATAAGATTTTAGGAATAATATTAGGTAGTTGGATAGGGGAGTATTACGAGGTAAAATTTAAAAATTTATAAAAAAACCCCCTATGTTTGCTAATTTGATAAACACCCCAATATATTAAAATATTGTAAAATGATAAAACCACCCTACCACCTGCAGTGCCAGATTCCGGCCACCATTGCCGGAATCCGGTCAGAAATTTTTTTAAGGACACATACCAGTCGGATCTGACCCGTATTCGATCGATATGACCTTTTCCGGCCAGATCCACCACAGATCTGGTCGAAAAAGGCCAGATCTAAGGTCGGATGTGGCCGTCGACGGTCGAAAAAGAACATATCTGGCTGTTACCGGCCATTTCTAGTGGTGGTATGTCTATTGTCTATCACCGATGGTGGTTGTCGAAATCTGGCAAGTATTGGTGGGTGGGTGTGTTTTTGTTAATTTTTAAACCCTTTTTTTTGGGGTATTTAATGAAATTAATAAATTTAAGGAGTCTAAAAGTAATTAAAAAGTAGACTAATATTTATGGAATAATGTACCAAACAATATTTGGAGAATGGGATTGGAAATATGAGTAAAAATAATAAGCCAACCAGCCCCTTATAGATTAGATCAAAAGTAATTTCTTTTGTTTTTTGTTTTGATTGTTGTTGTACCCATACAACATCTACACCTACACTTGTCATATAGTTATCTGTACTTTAAGGTATTAACTCATTCTTTCTATGCTAAAGCTACAGGGTCTAATATTGTAACAACATCAAACTCGTAAAAATACATTTTGATTTGTGTAAAACTATATATTTAAAGATCACAAAATACAAAATTCAAATCCAATACTTTTGTTTTTTGTTGTACTATGTTTACAAGGTGAATGGCTCATCTAAATGCAACATTCTGTCCTGGAAGCCCACCCAAGACGAGCCCACCAACACTCTCACCAAACCAGGCCACTGATTGCCTACCAAGCCTATATAATACAAACCCACCAGCAACCCCAACGAGCCATACCGTTGATCCACCGAGCCCAACACCCATAGCAAGCCAGATAAATGACCCTTCAAGCCCATCTAAGAATAGCCCAATCCTAACAACACCCACATAAACGAAGGTTGAATCGTCCCAAGCCCAACCCAAAATGAGAGTCTGCCTCTTGCTCTTTCTCATGTGCGAATGCCCTTTCAAACAATCCACATACTGTGTTTTGTGCCTCTTCAGATTATTGCATCAAAGATCCAATGTTGATATCCACCAAAGTACTAAAGAGTTCCAAACTGTAAGTATATGAGTAATGTTACAGCCACTGATGGTAGTGTATTGAATTTATGCACCAGATGACGTGACAAAATCCTAACCGTTGATGAATATTAAGTTAAAATTAATCAACGGTCAGGATTTTGTCACGTCATTCGGTGTATAAATTCGGTGCAATATCGTCGGTGACTGTATTATTTTCCGTAATGATATATCTAGAGTCTGTGCAAGATGAATTTCCAAAAGATTTACTAAACTGCTTATTGTATCTACAAAGAACCCTCGCATTAAAATTAATTAATCTTAAAGGAAACCCAAATTTAGCCACCATAATATAACAAAAACTTCTATTTGTGCGGAAATTACATATATCTAATATTGGAAAATATAATAATTTGACTCATTCCTCAAGTTTCATTTGCTTACCTTTAAATTAATCCATTAGGTCTTGAAAACTTCATTTTCAAGTATGATTACACTAAAATACTTGAGTCTCATATCCTGATAGAAAGATGTATTTCAAAATTTAAATAGTCCACATGCTTCCTGCTAAAAAAATAAAACTGTATACAAAAATTGCTCTTGAAAAATAAGGTATAAAGGTCAAAATACTAATTTCTAAATGACACAAAAGCAATCAAACTCCAAGCTACAAAGTATTTCTGACGGTCAAATACAGGATGCTAAGACATCTCACTTCAACTTATGTTACTTTAAATTACAACTTCATAATTACACTACAAAGAAGATGAATGAAAATAAACTCTTCAAGAGAGGTAAAATTTAACCCTTAGGACATATATATTTAATTTTATGAATATAAAAATTATCAGTTCAATTAAAGAGGCTGGCAGCTTCATTCTCCTCTCCTCCTATTGAAAACACATTGATTCTGAGTTTTGTAAGAGTGGTGAGTTTGTGGAAGCCCCACACACAGACACACCCAGTGAGTTGTATATGATGTTGGGATCATCAACAAAATGTGATGTTAGATTCGTGGGAATATCTTGTTCTTGAAAGAATGTGGAAGCCCACCAATTACAGTATCCTCACTATCATCCAAATTTTATACAATTTTCTACCAAGAGGGGTTTTAGAAATGAAGGAAGTTGGCCTCTGACAATGAATATTAGAGGACTACCATCGATCTTAAGTGTTCAATGCATGCATTACCATCTGGAAAAGAAACAAGAATCCTTATTTAAGAAAAGCACCTGTCTAGCGAACACAACTGACTCAATTTTGAGAAAAACTTCAATAGCTGCTCAATGTCTAAAGTATTTAGGCCACTGTTAGATATGAAGACAGTTAAAAAATCAACATAGAAAAAGAAAATTAGCTGCAGAGAAAAGACTTTCGAAGAAAAAGTGCACCTCTCAAATCACAGCTTCCTTCTAGTCTCCACATCAGTAACATGAACTATTTGATGCTTATTTCAACACAATTTCACAAACATTCCCTAACTCTGCAACAGTCAAAATTTCAATATTTAACCACCAACACCACCTAGAAAAATTCCATAAAGTCGTAGTGGAAATCTTCAATAAATTTCAACTGTAGAATCCAACCATTAGGCCGACTTCTCTTACCACAAATAACTTCAGAAATTATCATTCAAGATCAAGCATAGTCTTCTAATTAAGGCTCCCTGAGGCAGAGTGTATCATTGCCTTCCACATCATAATCTTCTAATTAAAAGAAAGTAGATATCTGCTCAGTGTCTAAAGAGTTTAACTTAATAAAATAGAAAATATCTTTTTCTGCAGTATGGTGAGCTCTGTTATGAAAAAAGAGGCCAATAACGGAACTACTTTAAAATTGAAATATGCAAAGCCATAATATTTTAGTTCAAGGAAAGTTTAGATTGTTCTTACTCCTACGGATTGTCGATGAACTTGTGAACTATGTTAGCACGACCATCATTGTCTTTTATCCCGTTTGCTTATGAAGGAAAGAAAACCATATGGAAATGAAACAAACTCTTGCATAAATGTCATTCGGGAGATAATCCTATGCAACTCTTTTGGTGGCTTCGTACTACAAGAGCTTTATTTGCTTGTTTTAGTGATAAAGTTTTGGCAAATCCTGCTGGGTCAATCAATAACATATCAACCAATATTTCAATAACACTAAAAAAGTATTGTTTTAAAGCACCAAACTTCCTAAAATGCAAAAAGCAAGAAAAAGACAATTGCATTGTACCACCTCCCATATCCAACAAAAGGCAAGGAAATATCTCATACTAAAATCTTTCGGGATAATAATTTAATCATTGTGCTAAGATACTTTTACGGGATAGAAAAAAATGGACATTTGGCATAACAATAGAGATTTTTTAATTCAGAGAAAGTTATTTCAGCAAGTTTATTTATGAAGGCGCATTGAAGTTTATTTCATTGGATAAGCAGAAAATAAATATAAAACCCCAAGTGGGAAAATCAACTTTCCGTTAACAACAAGGTGAACTAAACAAGCTCTCATTTCTAATTAAATATAGAAAATCCTCAACTGATAACTTTCCCCTCTTTGAGCCAATATCCTTGTGTTTTACTTTTATCTGCCACTAGAAAAAGTGGCATACATAGTAATCACACCGCTGATGCCATCTTATCATAGAAATTAAAAAGATAAGTACTAGTAAAAAAGATTGCATACCGAATCTGTGACATATTCCATAACTATGTCCTCCTCAAGTGCCAAAGTTTCTGGAAGCAGCTGAGTGAAACAAAAACAAGAAATTCATACATATATCAAATAGACATAAAATTTAAAAGAGAAAAATGCATAATATTGTGCATTCCAATAACAAAATAACAACAGCTCCATGTGAATCATGTAAAGGTAAAATGTGCGACATCGAGACTAAAGTTTCTAGCTGTTAATGAAGCATGAATTATTATGCTGACATGAAATAGTCATTCAAGTGATATTTATTTATTTATTCATTATCAACTATATATCAATTCATTAAGAAGTTGATATCTGCTCAGAAAGAGAATATAAACCATCAGATAATATGTGTTTATGCATGCAGGTATGTATTTGCAGGACATACGTTTAGGAGGCTTAGAAGGCCGAACGACTTGTGCATACCCAAAGTTTACAGTAACGATAAGTTGATACCCAAAAGATTTTGAAACGACAAATAGGTACCTTCCGTTATATTCTGTTAATGATTTTTGTTTATTAATAGTGAAAAGACTAAAATGCCCTTCAAAGTTTCAATTTTTGTTTTTTATAAATTTAAAAATTTCTAAAAAACCCCCTAGGTTTGCTAATGTAATTAAACACCCCCATATATAAAAAGTTTGCTAAATGACAAAAACACCCCCACCACCCACAGTGCCATATTCCGGCCACCATCGCCAGAATCTGGCCGAAAAACTGCATTACGACATCGAAGCAGCAGCCAGATCTGGCCTTTTCCGGCCAGATCCGTGGCTGATCTGGCCTTCGACGCCGCAGATGGAGTTTTGCGGCATCGACGGCCATACTAGCCGTAGATCTGGCCTTTTCCGGCCAAATCAGCCACAGATCTGGTCGGAAAAGGCCAGATCGATGCGTTATGACACAGATCCGACGGGTCTGTGTCGTAACGCAACTTTCCGGCCAGATTCCGGCGGTGGTGGCCGGAATCTGGCACTTGTGGGTGGGGGGTGTTTTTGTTATTTTATAAAATTTTTATATATTGGGGTATTTAGTGAAATTTGTAAACTTAGGGGGTTTTTTGAAATTTTCAAATTTATAAAAAACTAAAATTCAAACTTTTAAAGGCATTTTAGTCTTTTCACTATTAATAAATAGTAATAAACAGAAATCACTAACAGAACATGACGAAAAGTACCTATTTATCATTTCAAAACCTTTTGGGTATCAACTTGTCGTTACGATAAATCTTGGGTATGTATAAGTCGTTCTCCCGGCTTAGAAAAGATTATTTCGTTGAATCGTCCATTGACCCACCGAGCCCAACACCCATATCAACCCAAACCAATGACCCTTCAAGCCCATCTAAGAATGGCCCAAGCCTAACAACACCCACATAAAAGAAAGTAGAATCATCCCAAGCCCAACCCAAAATAAGAGTCCACATCTTGCTTTCCAAGACATGATACCAAATCCTAGAAATTGCATCATAAGTAACAAATTAGGATCAAATTAGGATTCATAATCAAATTTTTGTATCACTTTTCTATGCTAATTGGGAGATCTTAGTTCTGTTTTACTTAGAAAATGAACAATTGAGCAGTGAAAAATGTAGGCTCATTGTGAGTTTGTAACTTTGGGAAATCGTTCTTGAGTTTAATGGAGCTAGTGAATTTTAACTTTCTAGTTTGATTGCTTTGGGCTTGAATTGTCAGAATAAATTTTAGCTCTTGTCTTGGAGTCTTAAAAAAAAAAAAAAAAACACTGCACTTTCGCATCTGCTACTACCCTTTCAAACAATCCATAGATAATGTGTTTTGTGCCTCCCCAACTCATTGCATCAAAGATCCAATGATGGTATCCACCAACGTACTAAAGAGTTCTAGACTATAGAGGATATATCTAGAGTCCATGCAAGATGAACTCCCAAAAGATACACTAAACTGCTTATGGTGTTTCCAAAGAATCCTCACTTTAAAGTTAACATGAATTGATCATTTGAAAGGAAACCCATACTTTGCCACCATAGTATAAGAAAACTTCAGCTTTTGCGTAAATTATATATATATATATAATATTGGAAAATATCAGAATTTAACTTAGTCCTCAAGTTTCTTTTGCTTAACTCTAGAATAATCCATTAGGTTTTGAAAACTTCATTTTCAAGTACGATTACACTGAAATACTCGAGTTTTAAATCCTGACAGAAGGTTGTACTTCCAGATTCAAATAATCCACATGGTTCCCATTGAAAAAAAAAAAAAAATACAAAAATCACTCTAAAAAATAAGATATACAGGTGAAAAAACTAATTTCTAAAAGATACGAAAGCAATCAAACTCCAAGTTGCAAAATATTTCTAATTGTCAAATATAGGAGGCTAAGACATCTCATTTCACCTCAGTTCTTTTAAATTAAAACTTCACACATTAAACTACAAGGAAGATGAATGAAAATAAACTCTTCAAAATTTTCATATGGAGTTAGTTATTTGTTTAGTTTGTTATATGGTTGTTGCTTAAATCAGATAGTATTTGGGTTTCATTTTATTAATCTTCTCAAATGTTTGGTTCACATTCATGGATGTCAGATTTTTTAAAACTCCGTTGAGATTTTTGATATGTTGCCTATTCAATTTATATTTTTCTTCAGATCCTGCTATGCATTCCATAGAACTGAATTACTTCTTAGCCTTCCTGGATATTCCATTCTACATCCATGAGACTTTCGGTTTTAATTTTCTAATTTCATATACTCTGTATAAATTTCCTATTTCAATTTGCTATGTGTGTTTTATAATCAAATGAATAAAGCATAAACTTCTTTATTGACATTATCGTTTTATCGTTGTTCATTTTCTTGTCTAAGATATGAATTTACCAGAAATACAAATTTGGTTGCGCAAAATGTTTGGTTATTGGGGGAATAACATCGGTAACCAAAATATGATTTTGGTGGGTGGGTTAGTCATTAAGACAGAACCAAGATTGCCTTTCTTTTTGGTATTATTCCAAAAATCTCTGTTTTTCGTAATATCTATGTTTCCAGGGAGCGTTCCCCAATTCATTCCACTTTCAGCAACTCTCTTATTTATGGCTCTTGTGCTTTAGCTTCCACATGTACATTTTCTATAAGTTGACGTTGTATAACGTTAATGAAAGATGCAATATGCATTAATGGAACCAGGCTAACTTTTTTAGTCCTTGAATTTGGGCACTGTTTTGTTTTGCTAAAAGTAATTGTCCACTAAACTTTGTTATTTGAAAATTTCGAGGAAGTTTAATAAAGAAAAAAACCCAAGATAATTTTCTTCTATGGCTGTGGCATTACTTAACATTTGCTCCAGTGATACTACCGAGTGACTTTGTTTGCTCATTTTGCTGACTCTATTTCCATAAATGATGTATCTTTCTTTATTGTGGATATCAGTTAATGGACTCCTGCTCCTTAATAGTGAGATCCAATATCAATGCTATCAAAGTGTATATGAGGATTAAATTATTATCAATGTATCATCTATGTCCTTATAACATAGTATTTTGCTTAGATTGAAAAATAGACATGTTTTAAAAAAAATTTGTTTAATGCTGTCATGCATTATTACTTATTAAGTGATCTATGGTTGTATGTTTGCCTAGCTATGCATATCTATTGACTTAGGTGATGCTTTTTTAGTTACTTTTTTTTTTGGGTTGTTCCAATACAGTTTCTTTGTTTTCTATGTTTTTTTTTCTTAATAAATGCTTTTAAGATTCTTTTGTAGGTAAATCATTGTGAATTGCACTGTCATTTGTCTTGTGTCTGTCTAAAGCGATCAGGTTAAACCCTAAATGTTATATACTCACATAAACAACCATTATAAACAAAAATGAGAATAATATTGGGGTATGTTCCATGGACTTATTGCATTGATAGACATTGATCAATCTATTGCTTGTCATTGTCATTTGTAGATAGCATGCACATCTGTTGGAAGAGTAGTAATTTATTTTTAAAATATTATAATTCAACTTGATTGTCGGTGCCATTTGTAGATAGCATCTACATCTGTTGGAAGATTATTAATTTTTTTTATATTAAAAATTAACTAGAATTTTGTATTGCAGCCAAGCTGAATGCTAACCGGATGGTTGTTGAAACACTTCGTTGGTTTGATCAATTTATGAATCTTGTGGTTGACAACACAGTGGAGGTGAATGGCAATGAGAAAACTGATATAGGGATGGTAGTGAGTTCTATCTTTTCTTGCGGTTAGCAGAAAAGCAACTTTCAATATAGTAATGACATGGCAAAAGTCTTTTCTAATTAATTTTTGTATGTAAACTGTGAGTTAAATCAGATGTCATCTGGATCATTCTGTGAGTTAAAAAGCCTTTTATTCAATTTTGAGTCATGATACTTATCATCAATGGAAATGGTTTGAGTTAATGATTTTCCCTTCTTTTTTCTGCACTGATTTTGTGTCTACTAAGCGTGACAGATGGTGGGGTGTCTGAGATGGCCAAATTCACAACAAAACTTATAAGTTCTTACATATGTGGGTGAGAAAGAACACTGGTGTAGTTTATGCAAAACAATGTACGAGCAAGTAAAAGAGAGGTCCCCTTCATTTGATGTGAGTTTTTGTTCCTAGTATATGGTGTTACAAATTGAATTTTTTATGGTTGGAATTATACGTTAACTTAAGTGAATTATGGAATGATCAAAGCAGTCACTCTACTGTACGATTTTCTCATGTTGCTATTCTCTAGTATGTGGTGTTGATGATTTTGATTTATGCGGCTGTGATAAATAAATGAAGAAGATAAAGAATATAACGTAAGGGTTTCGATAAAAGTGGAACTATATAAATTTGATGAGGGTATAATTGACAAAATAAATATGCTATTAAGATATTTTAGCATTCAGGCAAAACCTATTGGCTTTTGATTTTATCTGATAAACAGATAAAGTCAAAAAAACAGAAAAAAAACTTATAATAAATATGTTTTTGCGATGATTATATATCTTGTCAGTGTCATTATTATTTTTGTCTATAATTATGTCTTTTTTGTTCTTGTTATTGTCATAATCTTCCTCTTATAATAAAAAAAGCTTATATATGAGAAAGATTATGACAATAACAATAGCCAGTAAAGAGTTGGGAGGTTAGATTCATTCCAGCTGCTCAGCAAATTGCAGATGTTTTTACTAGGCCTCTGCCTCAGACTCAATTTGATCAGGGAGGAATGAGGATGTTAAGTATGGAGTTTTTAGTAATATCAGCTTCGATACAAGTCAGCATATTTTGTTATGAATGCTGACTCAGCTTATTCAGTTCGGTAGTTTCTGTTAACTAATTAGTTTTTACTTTTCTCCTAACCGTGTGTAGATTTTGAACTGTAAGCTAAAGTTTAGCCAAGTTAAAAACCTCTTTAAAGAAGAGGAATTTAACACGAAGAAGAGAATCTAGAAAATTGCAAACGTTTAAAAATCAAATAAACATTTTATTGTAAAGGTCTAGATTGTAATTTTTTAATCCTTTGAAATAGTTCTTGTACAATGCCAGTGACTCGCTACGAAAGGAGGTCATGGCCAAAGAAATTTGGTCTTCTTTCAGAACTACTGTGACTATAATGGGGGAATGATCATAGTAGTCACTCTACTATACGATTTTCTGATGTTGCTATTCTCAAGTACAGAAGGCATTACCTGTACTTTAAGAGGCAAGTGGCTAAGTTCCTCTTCAAAATCAGAGTCTTCATCATAGTGTCGCTCATGCTCGGAGTCTTCATCACAGGTTTGGTCGAGTTCGTAGTCTTCATCATAGTTTCGCTGGGGTAGTTCCTCCAAATGATGAAGATCCAAATATTCCAAGTCTTCTTTGTACAGTAGATGAATCCCACAGCTTTTCAAAATAGTATTCCTGCCACTTTTAACACTAAAATTAGCATGAACATATGTACAATTACTTACCAAAGCTCTGTCATATTCTCTTTCAAATGCCTCACGTGACAAAAAGCACAGCCAAAGATGATCAGATTCAACGGCTGTGAAACTGGGGATCGCAAAGTTGAAAAGAAAAGAGGCTTTCTGCAACCTTATCCAACATTCAATGACCACTTGTTCATCCGAATGATCACGGATATCAAATACTACGGCCAATGCAAATCCCATGAGTTCATCATTGAACCAATATGGAGGCAATCCGATTTCTATTGAAGGAGTATTACTCCTATGATTGAACCACCTTGGAATTTTACTTCCCGGAAGACGAGTATGAAATTGAGAAGCTTCATGAGAGAGTTTCTGTAACAGGAGATCGTGTTTACAGTAATAAGGACCCTAAGTAATATAAGCAAAAGACATAAAAAGCCGTTGGAAAGTAATTTGTTATATAAGCCCAGAAGAATTAGACTTGGGCTAGATTACAAGTTCTAGTCCTGAGATTCAGGAAAATTGATGTAAGAAGAAACTAATGTATTTGAAGTTAAAAAACTATATAAAATATCAATATCACCTATGCAAAATATCAAAAGATCTACTCAAATAAGGTAAATATCATTTAATAAGGATTGACTCATAACTCAATCTTATAAATTTTCTCTCACAACTTCGATGTGACAACTCGCAATTGGACAGACATAACCTATTGCGAACAGTCGGAACCCATTTACAAGCTGACTCTGTCCGGGTTGTAAGAAGTTTGTAAGGTTGGGTTGTAAGTGTAGTATTACCCAATATCATTATACCCCACTCAAGAAACTTAAAGTGGTTGGATTCGAATAATTAGAGTTTCTGCAATTTTCTGGAAATTAGTTCTTCTAGTGTTAGAAAGCAAGGTTTTTTTTCCCCTTAAATATGCATTATTTTACATATTTAAACACATATAAACATAATATACACCCTTAAACATATACAAATAATACAAAAAACATAAATCTAAAAAGATCAAGGAGAATAAAGAAGATAAAGGAAGAAAAGAGGAGAAAGAAAGAAGTGAAGTACATTGAAGGAGAAGGGAAACTTCTGCTGCTTCGCGTGGAGTCGCCGCGCAAAGTGGAAAAGTGATTCCATACAAATGGATTTTCACTTGATTAATAAAGAATCTTTTATATTTTTGAAGAAACATCATGTAAGACAAAAGACCAATTCATGGGAGACAAAAGACCTTCACCTCTGCAACTTGTTAACTTGATCTATTAACCAAATAAATTTATGTAGTTTATATTTTAATTTAATTATTGAATTGGGTAATTTAGAAATTGAACTAACCACCATTGAGCATATTATAAGTCACATGAATGATAAAAAGTTGAAAAAAAAAATGTCAAACAAGTTTCAAACGATAAGTTTGCATTTGAAAAAAAAAAAAAACTTAATTTTGTATTTAATTTGAGTTTATTGGTTATAAAGGTATAGAGAATGGAGAGGTGGCTAATAATTAACTCCCCTAATTTTTTGTTAATTCATTTAAAAACCCAATACATTATACATGTAGACATGACTAAGACTATATCAACATATATGCTACTCTCATTAAGCAATTCACAGACTCACAAGAGAGACAAAGAAGGAGAACCTGGAGCCAAAGTTTCAGCATCATAACTGCCAAGTTGCTGCCGTAATACTCAACCAGTTTGAAGCAATTAAAAAAATGCAGTGCAATATCTGAGGAAGTGCTTTGTTCTGGTAGCGATAGTCTTTCAAGTGAAGTACAATCCTCTGCTCCAAGAAAAACTATTTCTGGTGGCAGCTCTGGCAATGACTGAAGCTTCTTGCATCTTTCCAAGCAAAGAATTTTAAGTTTCATAAGTTGATTGATGCTTGGAGGTAAGGTATCAAAATTGTTTCCGCTTAAATTTAGTTCTTCCAATGAGCATAAGGAGCCAATATCATTGGGGATCGCTCCATGCAAAAGATTACAATCACTAAGATCTAAAACTTTCAGATTAATTAAACCTGAGAGAGGTGGCAACAACAAACACATGGAATCTGGATTTCTGTTCGGTAACAACAATGACAAGAAGAAAGTGAACCAGGTTTGGGGTACTTGTCCTTTACATCCATGAAGAGAGAATTTTTCGAGCTTTTTCAATTGTACTATGGAGGACGGTATTTGTCTTATTGCCGTCCTACTTATATCTAGTTCTTCCAAACATTTAGCTACCTCTATGTTTTGAGGCAGCTTGTCTATTTTTAAGCAGCCACAGAGATTAAGAATCTTGAGAGACTTCAAACCATGGATATCGCTAGGAAAACTCAAAAGATTTGTACAATTCTTCAAGACAAATACAGTTAGCTTTGTGAGAACTGCAACAGATGGATGAACCTTACGCAATTTCGTACAGCCTTCAAGATACAGCCTCTCAAGATTTGGAACCCCAGTAAAGTCTGGAGTTGTTATCAGGTTGCAGGAGTGACTGAGATTAATGGTTTTCAACTCCAAAAAGGACTGTGAGAAACAAAATAAATTTAAGAAAATAACTTGATTGTAAGGACTTCACGTACGTTGTAATAAAAATAATAATAAATAAAGAAATAATACCTTCATGCCCTCCCAAAGATATTCAATGGAGCTGTTGCACATATTTAGTTCAAAGAGATTCTCCGGGTGGAAACATAAGGGCAAGGACTTTAAAGGGTATCCATTCCATTTAAAAAAACGTAACTCACTTGAGAGAAATTCGAGGTTCTCGGAAAGATGAACATTACTGATTTTGAGTAACCTTAAATTGGTCATGGCTGAAAAAGATTTACCATGCAGGCGCATGATTTCTCGTCCACGCATATCGACCATTATACCTTCAATTGCTTGTGTTCCCTGATAAATAAGAAAGAAAAAACTAATGCATAATTAATATAGAGAAATGTTACCAGCTCGTACTGCCATTAATGATATTGACTTTAGAGAAATAATAATGTATATATGTATGCGTTTGTATTTACAAATATCTTACCCTTATTTTTGTCAAAACTTGGCAGATGTCCTTATATACCCATAACCTACTCCATTTGCCAGGGTCATTATAGTGTTGTTCACGAACAATCTCCCAGCCCATTTCTTGCAATAAGTGATGCATCCATAATTCGTTCCTTGAAGTAATAGTTATCAAAGATTTGTCAATCAGTTCTTGTATTCCAATATTTGCAAAAAAATTGCAACTATTTAGTATCTCAATAACTCGATCTTTTTTCTTTCCTTTGAAAAAACATGCTATATCTAAAAATATGTTCTTCTCCACATTCTCTAGTCCATCATAACTTATTCTGAGTGATTCCAAAATTTTTCTATTTGGATACTGTTGTAGTCTATCCAAGGCACTTTTCCATACCTCAACACTACTTCTACCACAAAAATGGGATCCCAAAACTACAATAGCTAATGGTAGTCCTGTCGTGTAATTCACCACCTGTTGCGCGAGCTCACGAAGATCATTTGTGGCTTGTGAGGTTTTAAAGGCTTTCAAATGAAACAGCCGAAGAGATTCATCGAAAGTCAGCTCATTAACATCATATATGTTTTCAGTTACATGGGATGATAGTAAATGTTTATATCTGCTTGTAATGATGATTCGACTACCAGAACCAAACCATTCTCTCTCCCCAGCTAAATTCTCCAATTGTTCCAATTGATCCACGTCATCAAGAACAAGAAAAACCTTTTTCCGGTAGAGACGTCTTCTAATCAAGTTGATTCCATCAAAAATGTTACCCACATATAAATTTCTTTCATGCAGGAGAGAACGTAGAAGTGTTTTTTGCAAAGGCTTCAGACCTTTTTTATCATAGACTTCTCTAATATTGGCAAGAAAGCATCTACAATCATAGTCTTTTGAAAGCATATCATATACAATTTTAGCTATTGTAGTTTTACCTATCCCTCCCATTCCACGGATGCCAATGAAGCGAACATCGTTCAATCCTGGTTTTATGTATGCCATCATTTTCTCCACTCGAGACTCCATACCAACAAGATCTCGTGTAATATATGATGGAAATGCTTGATCCAGTTTTCTCGATAGGTCTCTAACAATACCTTGGATAAATTCTGATTCATGCCTACAAAGAAGAGCAATAAACAAAGCAAGAAAAATTAATTTGACAATCAGTTATAATGTACTAATTTTGTTTTGAAAAGGAACATGAATATGGTACAAGAACCTTTTTTTTTTTTTTTTTTTTTTTTTTTTTTTTTTTTTAAAAGAATTTAAAAACAACAGATATGTTATACTGGTCAAAACATGCTATAAGTTATAATTACTCAACTTGGGATATGATAGTTGCCATTTGTGTTCAAACCAAACAACTGAAAAGACCTTTGAAAGATGTTAAAATATGAGAATTGCATTCGAAATTGAGAATTTATGGGGATGTTAATAATCAATACTTCCTTACCAAAGTATAAAATTTCCACGAAAACATTTCGACTTTTAGTACAAATATTTTCAAATCATCGAATAAAGTAAATAATTGTTATCTATTTAATTATCCAGGGTATTTAATGCTAGATATGCGCATTTGAAGCTAAGAAGGCTACACTGTATTAGGAGAATAATCAGTACCTCTCCTGCAAATGGTATCCAGAGATACTGGCCACTCGTTTGAGAGCTGATCTCCAAGTTTGCACCTTCTTCTGATTCTCTTCTTCATGTTTATCAAAAGCTTCCTTGAAATCTCCCCTCTGTTTCCTTACATCTGATGGATCTACGTCGTAAAAAATTGGAACAGCTGTTTGCCCCTTATCCTCCATGCAGTCAACAATCTTGGCAAGTTCATCCAAACACCATGTAGAAGTAGCATAGTGTTTTGAAAATACTATGATGGCAAACCTTGACTGTTCGATAGCCGTGAAGAGCTCTGAAGAAATTTCCTTTCCCCTCTCAAGTTGTTCATCATCTCTAAATGTAAAAATTGCTTTCTCAATTAAAGCATAATATAGATGATCGGTAAAGTTTTTTCGAGTGTCCTCACCTCTAAAACTTAAAAACACATCGTATTGCCATTGATGGACTGACGATGAAGACGCCATTGTCCAGCTTCTCCGGTCCGAAATTAAGAGAAAGGACACTGCTTCTGTAATTGTAAGAATTAAGAAATTTAAATGGTCACTAAGACCATACGAGTACACGCTTTTATGGACGTGGGGAGAGGAGATCTGAGATGTTTGTATATGAGGTTTATCTTATTCCTCTGGGCTTTAGGAATGAATTATGAAACAACTCCGACAATAACTGGCACGCTTGAAGCTTCTAGAGCCCACGAATAATGTCATATTTAATGTGTCTTTATTCAATGCATCTTGGCTCTCTTTTACGCTTGTGCAACATGGTTTGATTTATTTTTTACCCTTACCCTTACGCGAAATTTCAGTTTTATCGCAGCCTTAGTTTACCAGGCTTTGAAACATAAACACTCCTCGGGTTTAATGTAAGTAACAGTCAGGCCCGGAGATTTAAACAAGTGACATGTTTCACCCAAAAGTAATTGTCATTAGCTTAATCAATAGTCAGTAAGATAAGGGAATAAAGTTGGAAATGCATTGAAAATTGATCATATATTAAAAACAAGAGTATCTTTTTTTGTCTCATATGATAGCAAAATCAATCCATCGCAAATTAAAGGACACAATAAATAAATAATTTATCTAATAAAGTATATCTATCTATTTTGTTTAATATTTTTTATTTTATTTCCTAATTTTATAATTTGCATCTATTATATTATTATTTTTAATTATTTTAAGTCATTAAAAATATTTTTAAATTAAAAATTTATTTTCTCTAATTAAAGTACTAATTATTTTAATTTTGTTAGATAAAGAAGAAATTTTGTGAAATTATTTTTGGGATTTTTTATATTTATTATATCTAATTATTGTTTTGTTTATTTTATTTATCACCAGATAAAACAAAAGGGTTTTTTTTAATCAGATTTGATGTGTTAAATAACATATTAGATTAAGGACAATTGAATAAAATGGTACTATATTATAACTCTTGAGCTTGTAATTTCACTTGTTTAGACCTCTAGGTTTAAATGTGCCTATACCAAACATCAAGGGTGTTTAAGTTTTAAAGCCCTAGGTTTGACTTTTGAAATCCTAGTCTCTGTCTGTTGGAGAAATGTTATTGGCCCATACCTAGTACCTACCACTAATATTTTCAAGCAATTTTATATTAAAAACTAATTAATTAAATAATTTAAAAAATTGCACAATCATTGTTATTGAATGGCCGACAACACCGATGTGACACATCTAATGATACTATTAAGATCGTCAAAATTGACGTGAGACAATCTGTGCCCGGTGAAATTGCCATGATTTACGACAGCTGAACAGAGTTGGTGGTGGCCGTGCTGGCCCACGGCACCACGCAACAAAAATATGGCACGGCATAGTACGAAAATATGCAATCGTGGCCCTTAAAAAAAGCCTGTAAACCAGCGCACGAAAAAATTAAAAAATTAAAAAAATTATTACATTTCGTGTATTAAAATATCCACGCACTGGTGTAACTATTTATAAAGAATTAGCTAAAATTTCTAGTGAATATAAAATAAATGATAAATTTTTCTCTCATATTTGATCAGGCATCATCAAATGATAGGGTTATTTATTTTTTGTCAAAACAATTAAATCCAGCTTATGAAGGTCAATTATTTCATATTAGATGTATTTGTCACATAATAAATTTAATTATACAAGATGTATTAAAATTAATTGAAAATGAAATATCTTTAATTAGGCATGTGTTAGGGCCAAAAATCGTCCTTGGCCCAAATAGGGAAAAAGGACCATTAGCGAAGAAGGACCAAGCCCAGTCCTACAAAGGCCCACGCCATGTTAGTTCTCTTCCAACATGAGGAACAAACCGGCCCAAACTGAGCGGGCACAAGCCTTTCAAACCAGGCCCGTGTCCTAGATCCATGGACAAATCCAAAGCCCACAATCCCCTCAGAATACTTTCCTACTCCTGATCAATCTCCCATTCAAGGTCACCTTCTTATTCCTGATCACTTTCCTACTCGGAGTCACTCTCCTAATCAGAATCACCTTCCTATACGGACACTGGTAAGACAGCTTACCACAACCCTAATTCTTCTAGGGTTTGCATCAGAGTCGTACTAGGACTCCTACTCCTACCAAGATTGGGAGACCAGACGATCACTATATAAACAGAGACCATCCCTCTCACAAGGGACATCAACATTACACCTTCACACCCGAGACTCTTCACTCGAGAGTTTCACTAATTCGCCGTAGTCACAGTCCCCGACTAGACTTCCGGTAATCTCTTATTCCTTAGCCCTCACTATATTAGCCCCTTTCAGCCTCACTGACTTGAGCGTCGGAGTGCCTACGGCAAACACCACCCCGGTGTTTCCCGTTCGCTTCACGTGTGTGTTTCTCTACGTGTGCAGGTGCAGCAGATCGCTAGTGGCCTTGACCTCACGGGATCAGACCCCCCTTCCGTACAGGTAGATTTTTACGTCTACAGCATGCAATTATGTTTATTTCATCATCTTCTTCACCCTTACAACAATACCATAGAATGTGTGAGCAAATGGGGTTACAAAAGAAAAAGTTTAGGTGGACATGTATTGGACAAGAGAAGATCAAATTTACATCCAAATATTGTTGAAGCCCTTATATATATGAAAGATTGGGTGTCGGAAAATTTCAAGCTTCAAAATAGTATTGTTGAACATATATTTGAAGATTTAAAAAATTTATAAATTAACAAAAATGAAGATGTACAATAATTCTTAATCCTAATTTCTAAGTTTGTATTTGTACTTTATGATTATAAGTAATAAAAAGTATTGAAATTCAATTAATATTTCAATGTCTCATTATTTTATTATATTTCATAATGATTATATATATTTTTTAAGTAATATAAATACAAAATATCACTAAATTTAACATATAAAATATTTGTATAATAATTATTACTAATAAATAAAAATTACCATAATTTATAAATATTAAAATTAAATATTTTTATAAAACACGTAGGCCGCCCCATGGCACAACTCACAGCACGACACGATATATAGCGGGCCGTGCCGTGGGCCTTCAAATTTCATGGGCTGACATGGCACAACAAGGCACAAATTTTTACGGGCCTTGGCACAGCACGACCCACCACCACTTCTAGCTGAACCTCATACACTATATATGGCTAAAACATGTATTACAAAATGCACTAGTTAATTATATGTGCAAGAGTGAAGTCCATCCTATCCTACGACAAATATTACTCAAAATATGTTTCAAGGCCTACTTTAGAAATGATCTAAAGTAATAAACTTTATTTAACTCTAAATTGAAATAAATAATTTGTATTAACCAATTTCGAGAAATAAACCTTTAGGGGGTGTTTGGTTGGGGGTAATCTCTAATTACTAAGGTAATGTCATCTTATATTACTTAAATTACCATGTTGGTTGTCAAGTAATATAAGATTCCTATAATATTTTAAAGAGTAATATTACACTTACAAAGAAATTTTACAAAGATCTCTATACAAAGTAATGTGACAAAAATGAATGGAAGAGTAAATTTAATGAGTTTGACTTTTTGTTTAACTCTTCCATTCATTTTAAATTGTACAACAAGTACCGCTTTGCCGAGACATTGACATCGGGAGAATGAGGTGGTTGACCTCATAAACAACCTGTTTCAGAGTTTTACAATAGCCGTTTATGACAGGTTTGACTAGATGGAAGAGCACATGAAAAGGGTAGAGGAGAAAGTGAATAAGCTGGTAGAGAAAGTAGGTACAGTGGAGGAGGAAGTTAGTGGAGAATTAAAGACGGTTGAAGCGCAAACTGGGCAAAAAAGAGAGAGCCGAAAGAGCAAGTTTGTCAAATCGCCTTACATGGTAGTGACACAGGCAAAGAAGAGGAAAATTAAGAAATAAATGGAGGAAGAACTAGTAATGGAGGAGGTTATGGAGGTTGGTGGAGGAAGTGGGGCAGTGATAATGGAGGAGGGCGAGGTGGGAGGCGAAGGAAGCGGGGATGTAAAAATGGAGGAAGGGAGAGAAAGTGGGCAAGTGGAAATGGACTCAAATGTCGATTTGTATAGGCCAATAGAGGAAAAGAAAAAACTCTTTTATGCCTATTACAATGAATCAGGAAGTAATGCCCATATAAAGTGTAAGACAGGGGATTATCCCCAGGAATGGTTTCAAAAGTTGTTGACGATGGACATGTGGCTTGAGGACTCGGTGAGTAATTTTCGCTTAATTTTCCTTATTTTTGTGTATGTTTTCCATACTTATCTTGTTGTTTTTATTTGATGCAGCACATCGATGAGATATTGGCACTGATGAGGCTACGACAGACTAGTGATGGTGATCTATTGTACCCTGACTATGCCATCACCGATGTGGCGTTTGGCGAATCGCTTATTTCGACATATCGCACTTTAATTAAAAATGTCATTGCTAGAGGTGCAGCAAAAGGAGCGAAGCGAAGCGAAAAAGATTGGCCATAGAACAGTTGGACTGCATACCTGATGATTTTCAATTTGATGATAGGATTATGCAGTATGTACGGAGGGAAAGGCCCAAATATGGCCACGGTTGGGCCTTTGTTAAAAGAGTTTACTGCATCATCCTCGTCAAAAAGATGCACTGGATAGCAGTCGTCGCACATCTAGAGGAGAGGTTGTTGAAGATCCTCGACTGCAACCCAACTATTTGTCGAGACAAGCAGTTGGAGGTCGAGTTGGAGCCACTGTCCAAGTTGTTCCCGCGGCTATTGCATGACAGTGGGATGTTTAGGCACTTGGGTGATCAAGTACTAACAAAAAGTGGCCACTTAAGCGCTTTACCATCCCAATAAATAAGTCAAGGTAAATTTTGTATAAAACTAACTTACATAATACAATTTTTCTATAAGTTTATTCTAATGCTCATGTCTTCTTCCTATTGTAGTGCTGAATGTGGGGCATATGCCTTGAAATTTATTCAGTTTGACATGACTAACACCCCGATTGACGGCTTGAATGATGAAACAATGAGAGACTGTCGGGAGCGCTGGGCTATCGACTGCTTCCATAGGCAGATGGATCCATTTTGAGTGACTAGAGCCCAATCAAAAGGTATGAAAGTTGGACTTTGAATTTTGTGGTTTATGTGATGTTGATGTTGATACTTGGGTTGTGGTGCTGATGCTGCAAGTGTCATGCTTATATAGAGCTTTACCGAAAGAGACAG